ATGCTGAATCTCTGGAGTAAGTTTCAAAAGAGACAGCCCAATCTTTTTGATCTGTGGAAACATTTCCACAGGCAAAAAAGCACCAGATGCAGGAGTGGGGGTGGGCAAGAATGCACAAGGTTTTGGTAGACGAGACTGCACTGCACTCATGGCTCTTTGAATAGGTCAACTGATGTAGGATTCTGAAAACCACACAAGACAGAGATCTTTCAGGAATCAGTAGCTTAGATAAAAAATACAATTAATTTTATAGCCATCTGGTCAATAGCGTTGTAAGCCAAAACTTGTGCAGCTGCCCAGCATGTATCATGGCAGAATGTTAACTCTGGAGGAGATTTGCAGCACTTTGATTCTGATTTACAGTGAAATATCTGCTGGCTGTTTTCCCTCTTAGGACAAAACCAAAGCGTGAACCAGACTTATAAACTAAGTACTCAATTCTGCACAAAAGATAAAAAAGGGCTTTGCCTGCAGCTAACAAGATGTCTTCTTTCACTAAAACGAATTAAATATGTCTTTCTAAATCTATGGATTTGGTATATACTCACTAAAAAATGGGTTCTGAAGGGCCATATATACACAGGCTGAAACTTCAGCAGCTGCTTCTTGTAAGGAGAAGATTCATGAGTGGCAATTTGAAGCAGACAATGAGCATGGAAGAGGGTGTACTGAAAGTTTTTTCTTCCATTTTTCATTGCAGTTACCCAGTCAAAACCACTTCCCTGCATCCATGTAACATGCAAAGGGCAAATAGTTCAAGACATGCAATGAAAAATAATTCACCACCACTTTCTGCTCCAAGTCACCTCTTACAAAAATGCTTGCCTCTACAAGAATGAGTAATCACAAATTTAATATATATTAATGCATAATGTACACTTTTGTTTCCATGTCCACAGTAAAGGACATACAGAGAAGCATCATCATTGGAAGTTCTGTTCTCTTACTGTGGAATTTCTTTCCCCATGCCTAAATATTCTGCCTAAACATTTTGTGAAAGTGTCAGAAGTACATGTTAAAAGTAGAGCTACATATTAGACCAGAGTCTTCAGCAAGTCTTTAAAAACAAACAAAAAGATTCCTACAGGTACTGTGCAAACACTATGTGGTCAGCCTATGAAAAATACAGGAAGTGAAAAGCAAATGGTGCACAAGAAGAATCCAACTTTTAGCAAGTGGGATGAAAGTTTGTTACTGACCAGCTGAAGGACCAGAAATGAAATCTGATGTCAAATTCTGCAAAAGAATAATTCTTTCATTGTTGTAAAGGAAACTTTGCAACATAGTAAAAATGCATAATTCTTTTGAATGCAGTTTGCTTTGCAATTGACAAAATACGTGTCTTTAAGATGCCACAAGATTATTTTTTGTCACATGACCACAAAAAAGAGTCAGGGTAAAGCTCTTCAGTCACTGATCTTTAAATAAAAGACCATTGTCACAAAACCACAAGCAAATTCACAAGACCACTACATGGGTGGGTTTTTCCACCTTGATTCTGCCCAAACCACAACTCCATGTACTTCAATTCATACTGAAAAGATTTGTATCAGCATGATAAATGACAATTTATGTTTGCAACAAATAATTGACACCCACAATTCCCACCTGACACTTTGCCCTCACCCTCCATTTACATGTGACAGAATTTGGAGTTTTAATTTTGCTGCACGGGGGGGGGGGCTGTTTCTGAAAGAGTAGGCATAGTGGCTACCTCTGATGACACAACCTAGGTGGGGCCCTCAGTTCCAGGGCAACCCACTGCTACTGCCAAATGTGTCGGAACACCACTTTTTGTGGAGGATCATCCCTCAATGCTGGGCAGCCCCTCCCTTCACTTCCACTGTCACCATAAAGCTTTACCTCTGTATACATTTCCCCCCAATTTATTTATTTATTTATTTAAAATATGCTGTCCCAGTACTAAAAGTCTCTGGATGGCTTACAAAAAACAAAAAATCAATCATAACAACGACAACACACAGCACACTGCATCCAATAGGATAAAACCAATTAACTGTTAAAATATGGGAGAATAAAAAGGTCGTCATCTGACACCAAAAAGAATAAAGCAATGGTGCCAGGCAAACATCCCTGGGGAGTGTGTTCCACAATCAGGGCGCCACCACTGAAAAGGTCCTTCTTCAAGTAGCTACCCTCCTGATTTCCTTTAAAGAGGGCTCCCAGAGAAGGACCTCTGCCTCAGATCTCAAGGGGCAGGCTGGCACATAGGGAAGGAGGTGCTCCTTCAGGTACCCAATAAGCCTAAGACAAACTGATCAGAGATACAAAGAAAGTTCTAAAATACACAATATTATATTAAAAGGAAATGAAAAAGAAAACTTATGATTTAAGGTACTTGTTTCTTTCTGAATATGTTTAATGTTACCTTAAAACCCTATATTTTTACTGTTACCACAAATCAGGCATTGCAAGTCCCAATTCCTGTCCCTTAAACCAATTCCTCTATCAAGCTTCAACCCAATTATCCCAGAGGCCCTCTAATGAGGACTTGAAAAGTGGTCTACTCTCCAATGGGGTTTGATTCCTACCTGAAACTTTTAAGTCTGTTCACCAGGCTTTCTATAAACAATACTTCCATGGAATATATACAGAGAAATACATACCTTGCTTCCTACCTAAAAAGACAGAGAAGAACAAGAGTTTGGGGATCTTTCTATGCTATAAGGCAATGTCCCTCCTTCCTTAGCACAAACATTGTAGGAACATTGAGAATATGAAATAAAACTATTCCAATCTAATTTAAACTCACAAATATTATGTCTCCTTATCACTCACCTCCTTACATCACAGGAAGTGCATTCTGTTCCAGATAATTATAATTAGTGGGTATTCCTATTTCAGAAATGTCTCATAAAAGCTCTGTGTGCCTTACTGTTTGAAATGGAACACTCCTGAAGACAGAGAAACTTTCATCATGTATAAATTACATCCAAACAAATGTAGAGCTTCAAAGTATGGGAGACAGGGTAGGTAACAAGGTAGAAGAGACGCCTTTTTATTAGGATGTAATTTCTGGAGGGAAAAAAAGGTGTTTGAGGATAGGGCATATTTGTTATAATCTAAGCATTAAGATCAGTCTACCTTCACAAAGAGATGAAAGATGTGTGATTTTCTTCTAATTATTTTTCTAAGCATGTTTTTTAATATGGCAAAGTGAATGCTTGGAGTTTTGAAATCAGGGTGCTGAGAATTACCACTCCAACAAGGATAGTCTAGTCTTTTAGGCCTTTAATAAGATTTTTTTTAAAAAATACAGCATATGAAGGGAGCAACCAGTATTACTGTTAGAGATTTTGTATATTCCTCAATTGTCAACCTATTCTCAGCAAAGGTGTATGCCTACACCACATTTATGACTACATGCTCCAGGGACAGACTTTCTCAAATACAGCCACCATTGGGGAGCGGGGGGATGTTTGGCATAGCTACCAAGACCCCAATAGGTTCATTCTACTGAATGCCACTCCTTACTATGCACACCCTGTGGCCTAACTTCCAGACAAAGCTCAAAAGCAAGTCTGAGAACCCAAACTCCAGGGGTTTAATCAAGGAAGCCAAAAGACCTAAGAAGTATGTTCTAACATGGAAGCTATCAGGAGCAGGCCAGAGAGGAGGAACAAGCAAACTTGCCACCCTGGCTCCAGCCTGGCTGAACTGCACCAACCGGTACAAAAGATGAAGACCTACTTACCTTTCTGTTGAAGGGGAAGGAATGGAGGACTCATAGGGGAGTCCTCTGTATTCCCCTCCTGGAGCAACAGCAGCTCCCCATTTCACCATATCTGATTTCACTTACATGGTCTTGCATTTCAATCTCCTTCATTGTGTTCATAGCTCTATCTCTGGTCATGGAACAAGACATCTGCAGCATCCTATCACACTCTAGATGTTGAATAGGGGCCTAGATTGCCCTCTTTTTTATTATTTCCCACCCATTTTTCTTTATAAACATGAGGAATAAAAAAGAACCAAAATGATAAACAATCTACCATAGAGGTCACCATATTTTACCAACATCTCTGGCTTCACAATTTATAACAGAAGCACAGAACCTCAGACTTCTCAAGCCTAAGTCCAAACCCAACCCATCTGTGGTTCCAGTGTGGCCCTCTAAAGTTTCTTTTCTGTGCCCCACACTCTTTCCCTTGAGCACCACACCTGTTCTGGCTTTTGTTAATCTTTTCCCTATGCTAAATGATTGAAATTGCTCTCCTAGGGCATAGTTACTGGTAGAAGTTGCCTTGCTCACTGGACTGTAGCACCCAAAAGCTTCTGAAATAGGCTCAACATTCTTGATTTATGTTTGCTTCTGAGAATACAAGTACACATAAAACTGGTTCTAAAATCTTATGGTTTAAAACAATGGCCCTAATCTAGCAAACCCAGGATAAACACAAGAACCTCTCTACTATTTCATATTAAGCAGGTATTCTAGAATGTTTTATCTGGTGGTGCCAATAGTCCTCTTCAGTTGACCAAATTTGGGATTAATAAAACTGTGGAGGATGTGTGTTTGCAATCACCCTGATGATCTTACCCCTGAGCTCATTTAATCAGCTTTTCTGTATAGAATTAACACATGATCTTCAGCCTGGGTCACTCAGCAACATATATCACTACACACCATCTCAGATGTATGGAAGAAAGGTAACCATTAAACCAAATGTTAAAATAGGACATATATTGGCCCAATTTATTATACTTACATCTTTTGTCTATGTACCTAATTTTACACTGACAACATCTCAGCAAACTAAAATCCTTTAACTAGAGATGCCAAGGACTGAACACAAGAACATCAGAATGTGTGGCACATTCTCTGAGATACAATTCTTCCTTGATACTATGTATTCATAGTTAAGTTTAAGGCAATATCTGGCCTTAAATTTACACTTATATTAGCCTTTGATTGAGTAGCCCTTTCTTAATTCCATAATATAGGACACAATGTTCATTACACAAAGATCAGAACTTACCCGTGTAGTCTTCATAACACTCACAAGTGTAGCCTCCCTCTCGGCTTCGACAAAGGCCATTGTTTCCACAAGGGCTGGAGTAACAAAGGTCAATCTCTGTTTCGCAGTAGTCACCTGTAAACCCTGGGGGACACCGACACCGTAGCCCATTGATGGGGTGGATGGGTCGGAACAAGACAGTGTTTGAACTGATAAATGGAGCAGAGCTGTCAAATTTAAGTACAGACACACACTTCATGTAGTTTTCACAAGGTTCCCGTAGACAAATATTGTCATCAAAAGGCAGTACTCGTTGGGTAGATATCAAAGTGAGGAGGGTCCTGTTGAGGTATATCTGCTCCTGAAGGTCCTCAGAGGGGAAGAATTTGTCCCGAATGCCACCCGGAAGTAAGGCAGAGAATGTCACATTCAGAATATTGGAGCTAACATCTGTGTCGTTCTGAATATTGAAGACAAAAATGCCCTCTTTAGTTGTTGACAGCACGGTAGCCACACCTTCCACAAAGAGAGCAAGTAGTGGAGAGAGGAACTTCTCTTGAGACATGTTTTCCAGTCGTACTGTGATACTGTTGGTCAGCATGTCATCAGTGATGATTGTCACCCGTAAGGTGCAAAGAGCTGTAACACTATGAATGCCATCTAGAGTGGGTGGGAAAAAGACAGAGAGAAGAATCAGACTTTCCCAGAAACATTATTTCAAATGCTTTCACACACCTGGCTCAGACCTCTCCAACACAGAACAAATGAAGCATCTCATGTATGAGAGTGTCAACTAACTTCTGAAATAGCCTGTAACTGCACCACATGGGGCAGAAAACCTTAGATGTTCTTGGGTAGGGAAGTGATGTTTCCATTTCCTTTCCAGGTATGCATCACAGAAGCAGAAATGGCTGTCCTTTCTTCGGAACAGTTTTTCCCCCATACAACATTGCTGGAAAGGAATTGAAAAGATGTTGGTTCCTTTTCCAGAAACATCTGAAGCCTGAATTTGTATGCAGCAGGGAGCAGGTGGTGATGCTCAGCTAGTTACTTGGGTCCTTTGCTTTTGAGGAGGTGAGGAAGAATGGACTTGGGCAACAGTGGTCTGTGGGCCTTCAGCTGCTTGCTTTTGGAGGGGGAAGAGTAGAATGGACTATCTCACCCACCAGCTATCTCACTGTCATTGCCTCACATTAAGACTCCCATTCTGAAGGGAAGACACTAATATGGAACCATCACCAGAACAGACTCATGCACCCTATTCATTTTTTAGTGTAATTCATAAAGGTGAAGATTTAGTCATAAGAGTTACTGATTATGAATAAGGGTGTCTAAAGGGAAAATGGTTTTGGAGCAAGATCTGGAGTCGAAACATATTCTAGATAGATTAACTGAAAAACTGATTTTGATGATCCGACATGGGGTACAAATTACCCGAAGAATCGGATTTGGATTTGGATAGCAAATTGCCTTGCCTTTTCTGAAATTTAAATTCTATTAGTTATTTCTAAAATTACATGTATAAATAAAAATTAGCACATGCAGATCTTCTTTTTGGGTAGTGCAAATCCTTGCCATACACTTAAAGAAACATTCTTGATCATGGTTACACTGATGCATACTCATCACATTTTAAATGTCACATACATTGGCAGGGATAAATAAGCTTAGCCAGAAGTTTCCACATACTTAAAGTATTTTATTATCTTCCACGTTAAGTTCTGTCAAATTCCCAGTTCTGTTAATTTTCTCCTACTCTGTGTGGGCTTCCAAATGTCATGAAACATGACTCTGAGTAACAAAGTACACTCACATTCAAGGCAAGTACGTTGCAGTGAATGTGAACAGAGATCACATTCGACTGTTCAGTTCTAAATTCTCCCTAGGAAAACTATCAGCAGAGGTTTAATTTTCCATAAAGTGTACCAGACTCAGAAAATTCTACTGGTATCTCTGTTGATAACTGTGAGATTGGTAGGATGAAGAAAATTCTTTCAACAGAAACTACAAATATTTCATATGGGTAGCTGGGAGTTTACACTGTAACCCTTGGAGCTACTATACAATACCCAAATTATCTGCTCTAGCAGTCTATTAAATATATTGAATAAAGCTGACTGATTCAGCACAATGTGTCAACTTTTTATTGTTCATATCAAAATATGAGATTTCACCAACAATATGAAAAATATCTACTGGTCTAAATAACAAATACATCTACTTCTCTTTAAATAAAGTTAAAGTGGATATATTCTTATGGTGTGTCTATCATAGTTTCCAGCAAACATTTAAATACTTATAAAGCTGAACTTCCTCAAATAGGGAGGACTGCCAATCTGAATAAATACATAAAAAATACTAACATTAAACATGATCAGTCAGTAGTGATCAGCTTCCTGGAACCAGTGTGTTGGTTAATCAGCAGTGTCTTTGACATCGTTTAACATCAATCATTCTGAAACCTGATTATCAAGCAGATGCATAGCTGAAATACTTAAAGTACTCAGTAGTAGTGGTAGAGTTCAAAGAGTTAGTGCCTTTGTTGAGCTGCCTTCTCCTTTGGACTCCAGCAGGAATGCTGAATGCTGCCAGCTCTGTCCACAATTTTACTAAGAAGTCAAGGTCTCATCACAGGTTACATGGCTTTCATCTACATGTCATAGATGAAATCATGAGAAAAGAGTATACAAGTTAAGCCCTTTCTCCTAAAGGGCTTGATGGTGCAAGCAACTTCCAATCCCCACACACCATGTATTCTCATATCACATTCAACTAAATTACACTGGTAGAGCACAGAATAATTAGCTGTTTGAACCATAGGACGTTTTAACAAGTAAAAATTGTGCTGTTATAACTTCTAATCAAAACCTTTGGTTTGAATTTGATTCGAAGGAGAAGAAGAGTGGGTAATTTGCACTAGATGCTTTTGACACGCAGTGTTGGGAAGTGCAAAAAATGCCAGAGAACTTTAAAAGAATTAAAGAACTATGGAAATACATATATATGGTAAGGAAAATACTTAGAAACAGAGAAACAGAGTGAGTCAGAAGGGTCCTCCTGGGCCATCTAGTCTGACCATCAGGTCCAGTCGGCTCCACTCATCACATGCCTGCTTCAAATGCTACATTTACTAAACATTCATATTTACTCTAAGAAAGCCTTATAAGTGCATTAGTACAAAATACAGAAACTCAGGATGTGATTCTTGCTAGCGCTAACCTTTTTTGTCCCTCTGATTTCAATGAAAGAACTTCTCACATGCTTGAACAACAAAATACAAGGAGTCAAACACGGTACCCAGCCTGCTCTTGCATGTCACTAGGTAACCAGATGACTTCCAGCTGTTTTGGATTGCAACTCTCACAAACACTGACCACTGGTCATGCTAACTACTGAAGCTTATGTTAAGTAGTAGTTCAAAACACCTGGCGACTACTAGCCTGCCCATCCATCCATTTATATGATGTAAAACTTCCACAGTAGTTGATAATTAAAAATGTACACTGACGTGTAGATTTTATATAAATATATATTACATAAATATTATTTGCTAGCTTTACATTCTTCCAGTCTTTTTTCCAGGCTTTCTTTGACCTGCTTATAAGTTCCACATTTAAAAAGTTAAGCCTCCACTCACAATCTTTAAAGCTTGGCAACAATAAAAACCCTGTTAATAACAAGTGCAATTCAGAATCATTAGGATTCAGTAGGGTTTCCCATTTACTTGGGATGTGAGATTGCTCTTAACGTTATAGTCTACCTAAGGCAAAGATCCTGCTTTTACTAAATGTGGATTATGCTCATAAGCAGGAACAGTGGAGCCCACAAAATGGAAATACACTCAGATTGCTCCCAGTGAATTCAAGACAGAGTGAACACACATTGGTGAGGAGCAGCAAAACTAATTATTCATGCCAGCACTGCAATTGCTGATGTTTAGATGCAAGGCTCAGGTTAGTCCCTGGTTCCCACTTCCTCCCCAAGAAGGAGCTTGTATAGTTTTTCTTTTTGTATTTGTGACATAATATATTATTATGGCTGCTCTCACACTACAATGAAGAAAAAGCACTTAACAAAGAGCTTTCTTTTTCCTTATGGGATGCATAATGATGTGCCTCCCATGCTACAAATACCAAGAGCACTAAAGTACCATTAATCTGTGAGAAGCTACTGGACTCCAGAAACTGTCATAATCAATATCAACTGTCAGAATATACAAGGCAGCTTTCCCAGCAGTTCCAGCATCTCTTCTGACACAGTTAATAAATCACCATAAAAGGCACAGCGTCAGTCACTATACAGCTTTGTCATCCAGAAGAGAGCACAAAAGGAAATCAGACGTGAATGAAAACAGCTATGGTTGCACGGAAATACGGGATACAAGCCCATTTAAGAGAACTTTATTTAATCCTACAACAAAGATTGTAGCTTGTTGTTGTTTTTTAAATTCAAAGTGAAATTGCAAAAAAGAAAAAAAAATAGAGGTGGGGGAAGGATTTTATTTAAACTGGGGAGTGCGACAATCACAACCGTATGCATTATGGGAGAGCTGGCCTTCGACTAATTGCTATGGGCCACAGCATGAGAGAAAATCATATGCTAAAAAGAAAATGTTAATTAAAAACAGGAAGGCACCCATACTTGTGAAAGAATAAAATGCCTGTTCTGAGGAACTTAGCTAGAATGAAAATGCAATGAGCTAATACGATGTAATCCTAACACTTGTTGCAGCAACAATCTTCCTTATGAGGGGGTCAAATGCTTTGAGCAATGATATTGCAAAAGCGTTGCAGGGATGCCATAATAGTGCTGCAAAAAAATAACATAAAAATCTATGCTTAAAAGCAGTTTGAGAGGTCTTAATAAAGTCATTAAAACTGGGAGAAATTGATAATAACCATAACTCAGATCTGAACTAGAGGAGGAGAGCCAAGTTCAGTACATGAGGAGGAGCAATTTGGGGTTAATTTCCCTGAGGGCGTCTCTGTTGCCATGGCAGCCAGTATTTCCCACATTCAAGCCTCAGTGGGGATTGCTGTAGTTTGTCATTATGGGCTAACTAGGTGAGGGTGCATTGTTGGGATGGTTAACAAGTTACTCTGTTTTGGGGTTGTGAGGGGCTTTTCAACTATCCCGAGAATCCATACTTGCCAGGTCTGACATAACGATGTACTGCAATGTCCTCAGCACCATGGCTTGAATATTCAAAATGGCTGGCAGACACAGTTACAAGAAACCCAACAGTGGCTTCTCATTATGTGTGAACTCAATTCCTGTTTCCTAACAAACAATCCTGTGCACAAGGACCTGACAGGAATCCTCAAAGAACTCCATAGGACTTACTTCTGAGTAAATGTACACAGGCATTTACTGTAAAATCATGAATTATCTACACCACTGAGATAAAAATTGCTATAATTTCAGGGCAATTGGATACAAAAACCTTTTCAATGAGAGCACTTGAATTTAAACATACTTAATGCTCCTGTGGATATACATTCAAAGGAACCAGTGTACTGAATAAAGGAATGTTACAAACCCCATTAAAGCATTCTCAGATTTTACTGGGGAACGGGGAAGATCTGGACCTAGTCCATACTCGGCCATGAAGTTCATGACTATGCTCCAGAACATATTCCTGAACCAACAGATGTGAAAAA